ATCTCATAACAACCATTGATTTTCACACCGGACTCTAGATATTTTTTGTTGCACTGATTTCAAAGGTTCAATTCCAAACTAGACAAAACTAAGAGTATCTTCAATGCTACAATGTGCACGTTGCACATGTGGCATGAGAGAGATGGACACAAAAAATTGATTTTATGACATTTCTCTCCGTCTTTCCAAGGTCTTATGTGTTTTTGGTAAGTTTTTCTATGCAATGTTAATCACAGTGTCTACATTTAGACATTGTGCTTGACATTGTGAAGAAAAACTTAACAAAATGATATAAGATCCTTCAAATAAGGAGAGAAATATTTTATTTATTGTTTTTTTATTGGTTATCTCTCATGCCACGTATGCACCGTTAATGTATTAGCATAGAGATGCTCTAAACAAGATCAGACATCAAAATATAATAGACAAAAATCTACTAGATCAGTCCAGTTCAGATGAAGTCTAAACAAACCAGGTCGGACCAGCTCAGGTAGGGGTGCAAATGAGCCAAGCCATTCGTGAGCCGCTCGTGGATCACCCGGAAAAAGCTCGACTCGAGTTCGACATCTTTCAGCCCAACTCGAATACTTAACAAGCTCGAGTCAAGCCTAATTATTTTAGGCTCGTGGCTCGCGAGCCGGTTCGCGAGCCACGATATATGTATGTATATAGATTTATTATGTATAATAATTATATATATTATGTATAATAATTATATATATATATATAATATTTTTGGAATGTTTATTCTAATTTAGGATTACTCTATTTCTAATGCTTATGATATTATAATAGTAATAATTAAATATAATATTATTTATTATTATAACCATATACTTCGTAATAATCAAGGTTAAATGTAATAATTTAATTTATAATAATACCTATTTATTTTTCAGTAGCTCGTAAAACTCAAGGTTAAGAACATATTGAGATCGAAGCTAACACTATCGTGCGTCTATATCAGTTGGTAATACATGAGGTTAGATGATTCGCTTTCCACCCGATTTCGAATCCCTCCTTGCTTGGATTTTTTAGCTCGTAAATCTACGGAAAGTGAGGAGAAGCTACCCCTGCTATTCATCTATATAAAGAAGCTGCTCATCTCCTTTAAAACTATCAAGGCATAACACAAGCCTTGCATATGCAAGGTTTGAGAATAAAATCCTCGCAATCTTGTTGCAAAGCTGTCGTCGAACTCCAGACCTAAGTTTTTTAGACTCGGTCGAACTCGAGTCGAGCTAGAGCATTAAGAAAATTCTTTAGCTTCGAGTTTGACCATACGTGAGCAGGCCCGGCCATAGGGGGTAGGCAGCTAGGCCATTGCCTAGGGCACCACTTTAAGTGGGGGCACCATTTAAAAAAAATCTATTATTATATATGGAGTATGTAATACGAGTATATTACTCCGTAGTGTATTAATTAATAGGATGTACATTGGACTATCCAAATTCTACAAGCGGCCAGCGGGTAAATTGATACAGAGTGAGCTTGGCCCAATGAAAAATTAGGACGGGAAGATCCATACCCTATTACCCACCCTAGTATGTAGCTTATACAATTATACTCCGTATTAAAACTCCTTTACCATTTTAGTTTTGAAATTAAAAATAGAAAAATGCTAAAGGTACCCCAATTGGTACCCCCAATTTGTACCCCCACCCTATTTTTATGGCTCACAAAAGCACTCATTAAAGTGGGGCAATTCATTTATTGAGGTGGGCTTTTGTGAGCCACAAAAATAGGTTGAGGTACAAATTGGGGGTACCAATTGGGATACCTATAGCAGAGTTGTTAAAAATAGGATATTAGGAATGGAGAGTAGCATTCTGATTTCTGCCAGGTCCAGGTGCCATCCGCCTGCGCCACCAATTTGCAAATTGCAATTCAGGTAACGATTAGAACTTTTCAATTTGTGATTTCTTTTACATTCAATTAATTAATTATTACAGAGTATTTATTAATTGTAAATATTAACTGATTCATCCGCAATCTGCAATTCCACATATAAATTCGAAATTGGTTAATTGAAATTTATGAACGAGTTATTTTACATCCAATTTATTAGTTGTTATTTATTAATTGTATTAAATTTGAATTTTGTGTTATACACCATATATTCTTTCTAATTTCTTTGAAGTTATTCAGTTATCAAATTCAGTCTGAAACTTGTTCTATTTAAATGGTATTTCCATATATCTCTGCTCAACGATGTCACAAGAAAGGTTAAGTGGACTGGCTATGTTATAGAAAAAATAGTGTTATCTAATCTTGACTGTAGTGATGTACTTACAAATTTTGCACATGATGAAAAGACAAGAAGAATATGTTATTAGATAGTACTTTTATATTTTATTTCTTAGAATAATTTACAATTTCTTACCAATTTTTATATCAATTTTGCACATCAAAGACAAGAAGAATACTTTTATATATATCAACTTTAAGTCAAGTATTACTTTTTACATTTAGTAAAAAAAAGTGTTATAATTCCCTAATTACATCATGTTTAATTTGTTATTAACTTTACGTACTATGTGATCTCGTTGGTCATTTTTTGTCTAGGGCATCAAAACTCCTAGAGACGGCCCTGTACGTGAGTTCAGGCTCGGTTCGGCTCGTTTACACCCCTAGTTCAGGTGGATTAATACCTCCAACTTTGTAATATCTTTTATTTTAAAAATCAAGAGAACTCTATAATTCAGAGTAAAACATGTTCAAATTGAAAAAGTAGGAGAGAAGATCTAAAATTGAAAAAGTAGGAGAGAAGATTTAAAATTCCTTAAATATGATGGATTTTTTTTATGGAATAAAAATAACCTAATGTCATCGACCACCAAAACTCTACGTTTGGTATGCTGGGGAACTAAGGGGCAATAAATTATTAATTATATTAAAGTTAGAAATGTTAGTTCTATTTGAAGAAAATAAAACATGTAATTCGATGCAGATACTTATTTTTTTAAAGGCGAATGCTTATATTAAAATCATATGATCTCACAGTCATACATCATACTTGTCGTCGACCGCCAAAACTCTGCGTTCGGTATGCTGGGGAACGAAGGAGCAATAAATTATTAATTATATTAAAGTTAGAAATTTAACATTTAGTTCTATTTGAAGAAAATAAAACATGTAATTCAGTGTAGATACTTCTTTTATTTAAGGCAAATGCTTATATTAAAATCATATGATCTCACAGACTCACATTTAGTTCTATTTGAAGAAAATAAAACATGTAATTCAATGCAGATACTTATTTTTTTTAAAGGAGAATGCTTATATTAAAATCATATGATCTCACAGTCATACATCATACTTGTCGTCGACCGCCAAAACTCTGTGTTCGGTATACTGGATCATATTTCTTTTAAAAAATAATCCATCATATAAAATCAATGAGTAGTAACAAATATGTATTTTCTATTCCTGATCAGATATAGAATAATAGATTATCCAAAACTGAACAAGACTAATCGCTAAAGATGCGACAAATTGGAAGTGAATGTCGATCATATTAGCCTTGTTACTTTCTCTCGATCTAATAATCTAAGAACACGAAAAGTTTTCAAAAGAAATAAAATCAAAACTTGAAATAAAATTATAGAAAAAATCCGTTGTCAAAACCAATCTAAATATTCTATATTTCAGTTTTATTTAGTGCATTTTTGTCAAAAATGAATTACTATTATGAGCATGCAGCTCAACAGGTCGTCGACTTATTCTTTCATATGGGAGGTCTCATGTTTAATTTTCAATTGAGTGAGATTGATCTCATTTTACCTCATATCCCCCAAAACCCGTCGGACACCCCAGGATATAAAAAAATTAAAAAAATTATAAAAAAATGTACTGTTATGAGTAGGGTTGTGCATTAACCGAGCCAAAATGAACCGGTCCGGGTTTCGGTCCATAGTTTTTCAAGATTTCGGGTTCCGGTCCGGTCCGGGTCAAACCCTGAAAAAACAGATCCGGACCGGAATGGACCGGTAACCTATTGTTCCCTAAAATATATACTTCGTTTTGTATAATTAGTAATTATGTTTATGGCTTACTTTTGTCTTTTATAATATAAACGAATATATATGGAGTGTATATTTGGTGTCTAATTATTTTGTAGGTTGTTTTTATTTGTTTATTTATGTGCAGGTGTGCAATACTATGATCTTAGCTTATATTTGTTTGATTTTTCCAAATTGCTTTTTATTTACTCCGTATTTCTTTATTTGCAGGTGTGCATGTAGTTTATACGTAGTATATTCTTGGATGTAATCTAGTTTTTATTGATCTACAATATTTTTTTCCATTTTATTAGTCACAAAAGATTGTAGTTATAATTATTGTTGGAAACTAATTGTTACGATTGAACAGTTTTGATGACTATATTCCAAAATTAATAAATGAGTTAAACAATTATTTAGTCTATTTAGCATATCCGCACATAAAATTATACTCTGTAGTTTGAAACAACAAGAACAACATCCAAGCTCTATTCCTAAAAAAATTGGGGTCGCTAAGATCACTCGAACGTAATAAGTTTTTTTAAACCGGGTCAATTAGGGTGAAAACCGGACCTGACCAGAAAAGTCAGGTCCGAACCGTTCTGGACCGATTAGATTCAGGTCCGGTCTTCGGTCCATAGAAAATGGTGATTCCGGTTCCGGCCCTAACGGATTCCGGTCCGGTCCGGTTTTGGACGGGTGCACAGCCCTAATTATGAGATCACATTTCTCGTATTTCTCGTGTGACTGGATAAAGACTCTGTTTGCAAGTGATTGTGCTTAAATAAAAGCACTTTTTGGAAAAAAAAGTAATTAGTAGTAAAAGTTGGTAGTGTTTGGTAAAATAAGTGCTTTTTATGTAATAGAAAAAGTAAAAAGTAGATTCTACATGAAAACCGAGAAAGTAAAAGTTGGTATTGTTTGGTAAATTAAACGTTTTTTTCTTTAAAAAAGTCAAAAGCACTTAAATTAATTGTGCAAACAAAGACAAAATCCATAAAATCTTCCCTTACTATGTCGGTTGGTCCCAGATACGAAGAAACAAGGGGCAAATAACTGATTCTGCCATCTGATTTACAGGTCATCATCAGCTTCTATTACTGTTCCACCGGTGAATCGAATTCTGACCTACCGTTCTCTTTCCGTCCGACTGTTCGAAAATTTGAGATTCCAGTGAGCAACAATCTACCCTCTTTCAACCAGACACCCCCCTGCTTTGTAGGTAAATAAAAACAAACTCTTACACTCTTTTTCTTTCAATTTTATCATATCAATATCAATTTACTAGTGAATCGATCATCTTTGTTCAACTTTCGATTCAAGAATTTACTCCCCAATGCAAAATTTGCTGAAAAGAGAGTGGAGGCTTTGAATTTCCCTAATTAACTTCGTTTTGGGGACTCAAGATTTATTTGGGGTTTGATGGCATTAGTTGGTAGTCTAAAAAAAGATGTTATCTTTATGAGGAAATGTTGAGGTTTGAATTGAAGTATTTCCCTAATTAACTTCGTTTTTCGGAAATCGAAATCGAGATTCATTTGGGTTTTGATGGCATTAGTTGATAGTCTAAAAAAGATGCGATCTTTATGAAGAAAATATTGAGGTTTGATTTGAAGGAGGGATGTATCTCAGAAGCATGGAGGAGTTCTGGGCTTTCTACATGAACCAGCACGCGATGGCAGCAACAAGGCGGTGGCACTTTGCAGGCACACTCTGTAGTATACTGTGGTTAATATACTCGGTGATGTTCAACCGGTGGTGTTTGGTTTTTGTGCCTCTGTTTGGTTATGGTTTCGCGTGGTACAGCCATTTCTTTGTTGAAGGGAATGCTCCTGAAACTTTCAGGCACCCCTTTTTGTCCCTCTTGTGTGATTTCAAGATGTTCGGGTTGATGCTCACTGGTCAGATGGATAGAGAGATTAAGAGGCTTGGTAAGAGGCCTGTCTTGCAAGCTTACTGAGCCTTTTCTTTCAGTTGTCATTTTCTCTTTTGTTCTTTTGATGATTGTTGGACTTGGGAGGATGATATAGGGGGATTTGGTGTGGGGGGAGGGTGACTTTCAATAGTTTCTGTTGTATCATTATGTAAGTATATGATGAATTCATGATAGTTGTTGTTCTGTTAATATGATTCTTTAGTTCAAATCTTATGTCCTAACTAAAGGCTGTTGAAAGAATATACAAGTTGCTAGTTGGTAATTTAGGAAGTGAGATGTTAGAGTTTAGTAGTTTTTAGGAGCTGTTCACATACATGAGTTATTACTTATCAGTAGCAGACTAGTTGGGTTTGAACTTTCGTTGTCAACTTAAAATGAAGCTCGAACTCAATCTCTTTTTTGGAGGTTGTAGTTTTCCCTGGATTGGTTCAAAAGCTTTGGTCGGCATATGACTAATATGAGGCATGTTGTGGGGTTTGTCAGAGCCAATGTGCAAGTTTTCTTCAAAATGGATGTTAGTCAACTAAATTAGTAATATATTTACTTGGACTATTTTCAATCCCAGATCATATCAGATCAGACTTGACAGTTACAAAATATACAAAGACCACATATGTTAGAAATATACGTGTATAAGTGAGCTGGCAATAGTTAGGCACAATTAGTTAGAGTCTTGTTAGACAAGTTGTTATAGACTCAACTGTAATTAGCTAAGCCTATCTTGTATATATACTGGTTATACGCTACTACTCTACTGAATAATGAGAATTCATTCTTCTTCTAATCTTTGATTCTGCTTAAATTTATAAATATTGGGTGAAGTGACTGAACTGGGTGATAGTGCTGATCTAAGAAAACATTATATTTAAAATATATTTTATCAACAAAGAAAAAATTATATATAAAATAGCTAAAATGGTCTTCTATAGTAACTTCAGCCAATACAACCAGAAAAGTAACTCTAACCTAACTTTTTCTTATTATTACACATCAGCGCGAAATCAAAAGTTATTTGATTGGTGAAAGAGCTGACTGATAAGTGATAACTCTGATGAGTTGAAAAACAGTGTTGCCAGACGGGCTCTAAATCATAAATAATCCAAACTTGATGACATGATAAAATAATGACATGAATTCAAAATATACATTTTTTAGGTTGTTCCCCCTTCTCTGTAGAGCATTCACCATTTCACGGTTTCACCTAGCTAGTATTAAAGGAGACGAGTCATTCAAATGTAACAACTTGGCTCGAACGCCTACTACAGGGAGAAGACTATTTGGTAGCAATGTTTATACAGTTTTGTTAGGATACACAAAATGTGTACACACTACACATGTCTGTCCTTCACAGAAATTTTGTCTGTCACAAATAATTCAAATGAATTTTTTGTGACAGACAAAATTTCTGTGCAACCATGCTTGTTGTACCCACCACTTTGTACTCACCTTATACCCACCTCTGTGAAGGCTATTTTTTTGTCTTTGAAGCCGGTTCACAGACAAAATATGTCTTTGAATTCCTTCACAAACATATTTTGTCTATGAAGGAATTCACAGACAAAAAAAAATAACATCACAAACATGGGTGGGTACAAAAGTGGGTATAAAAGTGGGTACAAACATCATTTTCCATTTTTGTGAAGGACAGACATGTGTACACATTTTGTGTACACATTTTGTGTACCTCGAGCATTTTGTGTCACGGAAATTCATATTTATATTGTACCATTACGATATGCATATCACATCCAGTTGACAAAGTGTGTTCTTTTTTAAAAACTACAAGGGAAAATGACTTTAAATAATACAAACTATCTTCCGAGAATTAAGAATAATTTGTACTTTGGAAATAACTTGTACGGAGTAATTAATAATACCAACCGGAGTATGTAATTATAGATCAAAAGTGATATAAAACATGTTTCCACCAAAAACTTAGTCATTTAATTCACCAAAAACTAACATTAAAAATCAAATAAGTGAATGTATTTTCGAATGTCATTTATTTGATGGTTTGTAATTAGTTTTTGATGTCTTAAATGATCGGATTTTTCGTTAAAAAGTAACTCTATATCATTGTTGTTTTACATTCAAATAATTGGTATTATTAAAAATCATTGTTATTGGTTGATGAATGATAGTTGATACGGAGTATTATTTAAAGTTATTTTCCCAAAATATAATGATCTTTTACGTCTAAATGTACTTCGTATATTATAAAGTCTGGAAAATTAGCAAAAAAGTATAATCATGAATGAATCAAGAATGAACGATTTCATTACGAAACAAGTAAATGCTTGAAAAAGTTACAACAGTAGCTGCAGTACTCGAATATAAATTATAGTGTTGTATATTTTGCCATTGGCTTTTTGAAGAATATGCAACTACTGTCTACAGTCTACTGATATAATTAATTGATTAAAACTCTTTAAACATAATCTTTGAGAAAAACTCAAAAGGCTCAGCAACCACATTATACTTAATATATCGCGTAAAATAATGCGAGTAACACTTACCAAAGGAGCTTGTATAGGCATGGATTCAGTCTGGCTGGGAACTGGGTTCGACACCATTTGGGCTCGGACCGGGTCCCTTTTTTCAGTTTTGAACCTAGGACCCAGAAGGGGTACCCAGTTCCAGTTTACAGTTTTGGACCAAACATGGTTCCAATCCCGATCAGTCCCACCAGGCGATGTTATTTGTTTCAGACTTCTAACCGAGCAAAAAAAAACAGAATCCTGGAACCAACCGGCCCAGATGCAAACCTAAGCGGGTCAGACTCATGCTTCCCCATTTTTTGTAGGGACCAGGCAGTCTCGGCCCGGAACCCAACCAAGTCAGATCCATCCCTAGGCTCATACTCCCTCCGTCCCCTTTTAAATGTCTCGGAAGATAGTGACACGAGTTTTAAGAAAAGTGAGTTTGTGTGATTGATATTAATTGATAAAGTAATAATAAAGTAAGAATGATTTTGAGCCACACAAACTTTACCAAATAAGGTATGACACAATTAAATAGGGACGTCCCAGAATGGTAGAACGGGACATTTAAAAGGGGACGGAGGGAGTATATATTAATAAAAATATCAACTGATAAATGAGACTTGTATTACTTTAATTGCTTTCTCATTCCCACTTGTTTACCATTTTGGCTTGACATTTGTATTAGTAAGAGAATAGGACGAAATTTTTTAAATCACAGATTCAAACAAGAAAGTGGGTAGAATGTCCCGGCCTACCGGGACAACGCAATTTACATTAAAAGTGAGGAATCCCCCGTTTATAATGACTGATTAATTGAGCAGTCATCGTATCATTCATAAGATAAGCAGATAAACGAGAAATTTATGGCAATCAATCCTCATTCCTCAGGTGTCTAAATCATATGTAATGTCATATAGACAGATCTAAAAGGGCTTAATCTCAAAGATCTAAGGTGTTTTAAAGGGCATAATGTCGTATAAAAGATGGACACTTTTATCAAAGAAACAATGGCACCAATATTACTCCCTAAGTTTCTAATTCAAAAAATATGACCACTTTTTTAATTTCCAAAAAAAGTACTCCGTATCTTTCTTCAGATCCAGCGGCCAACAGATTTATCCTTCTCCATCGCGTTGAATGAGACCAAGCCGACGATCTTTCTTCTCCCAGCTTCACAGTGGCCCATCGCAGATCCACAGTCGGCCATCGCAGATCCACAGCCGGCCATCGCACCTCTGCAGTCGCCCTTCCCCTTCTTCCATCCTCCGTCTTGGTCTACTGCTCGCAACCTCCAGCCTCAACCATCCGCCACACGACCTGCCGAAGAGGATTCGATGAGACGGCGAGACTACAGTGACGAGGGTGAGGCTGCGGGGATGAGGGCTTCAGCGACAGAGACGAAATTACGCAATGGCGGCGGCTTCATCGATGTCCGTTCCGATTTCCAGATCTGTGAAGAAGTTAACGGCATCTAGGGTATGTGGATTGCAGATCTGATTGAGGGAGGCGATGGTGCGGCTTCATTTCGCATAGGCAAAGGGGGTGGAGGTGGTTATGTGACATGGAACGGAGGCGGTCCAGTAGGCAGGAGCAGAGTCTTGGGCAACGATCGTGCAGGACTGTGGCTGGTTGTAGTGGGGCTGGGGTGTGGTGGCCGCGACTGGCGGGGAGGGGCAGTGGTAGCGCGCAGGCGTGGACGGTGCTTGCTGCAGTGATGGCCGGAAAAAGGGGCGGCCGGAGTTACTCCCGGTGGGGGCTCACTGTAAAATCAAGTGTAAGTGTGCATTGGCGGGTCATTGTGACGACGTCACTGTTGCGGCGTCACTGTTGCGGCGTCACTGTGGTGGTGTTACTATGGCGGGCGGTGGCCGCAGTGACACGGGCGGTGGCCGCAGTGACACGGGCGGTGGCTACATTGACACGGGCGGTGGCTACAGTGACACAGGTAGTAGCTACAGTGACACGGGCGGTGGCTACAGTGACACGGGCGGTGGCTACAGTGACACGGGCGGTGGCTACAGTGACACGGGCGGTGGCTACAGTGACACGGGCAGTGGCTACAGTGACACAGGCGGTGGCTACAGTGACACGGGGGTGGGTGTAGTTACATTAAAATGAACACAGTGACATAAATTTTTGCAGTTACATCATGTTTTCTAATTGCACATATATGACCTTCTTGATCACTTTTTTGCCCCTTTTTAAAAGTGGTCACTTTTTGGGTAAATGATTCAAAATTAGTAATATCCAAGTAAAAACCCCTTTATCAAAATGTGAATTGCCGTGTCACATACATCAGAAGATGATAATACTACACCTTTGGCTTCACATTCATCAGTAGTCATTTGCAAAGCTTGTCAAAAGCAGCATGATGGGAGGGGCACTGCTTCCTGTAACGTAGGGGTCTTCTGATTTAAGACTTCCAGTCGTATCCATCCCTATCTGTGATCTATTACACTTGTGATTGTGAACAAACTAGGTGCGTCATAAGTCAGTGTTGCGTGAAAATGATGGGAGGGGCACTGCTTCCTGCGGACGAAGAATGACGAGAACCCCAAACATTCCAAGCATCGGAAGCCCAAGAAGCCATTTCAAGAGTTTGTAATAGTGCATGTGGAATGTGATGGAAAAGTCATCCCAGAAATAGAGTCCATTCTTGTCGACCATCTCCACCACCACCGTCCCAGCAGTCCTAACCCCCACTGTTG